GTGTGTGTGTGTGTGTGTGTGTGTGTGTGTGTGTGTGTGTCCACCTATGACAGGGGTCCTGGGCGCACTTCGAGTTGGGCTGTACCGTGACTCAGACCCATCAGCCCCTTCTTTTTCTGAAGGGGACAGGTGAGGCAGTCTGCCCCCATGAAGAGCCGCGTGGCACTGGAGCAGGGCTGCTCTGCCCGCAGGGCCATCGTCCGATAGAAATGACTCCCTGGCAGCATCTGCTTTTGGTGTGGTACGGACCCCATGTGTGTCGCTGGCCCATCACTGGTTGGAGGAGACTTTAATGAGGTTTCGGTCTACATGCCTGCCTTCTCTTCTGGGATGCGCCCAGGATCGGGATGGCTGGCCAATCCAGCTTTGCAAACTGTTTTTCACAGTGGCTGGACGTCTTTCAGCCACCTACCTATCTTTTTTGTTTCGTTTTTCATTTTTTTGCTTAACTTGCATATCTGTGTGGTAAAATATAGCTAACGCAAAATGTATCACGTTAAGCATGTTTGAGTGTCTGTGACTGTGGTGTTAAGTACATGCACTGTACGGTGCACCCACCACCTCTATCCATGTCCAGATCTTTTCTTATCGCCCCAAACAGAAATTCTGTCCCCCTAAAACAGGAATGGCCAGGAGCCCCGGTGGCGGTGGGCTGCTAACGGCAAGGAAGGCCTTTCGAAAATACCAGCCGCTCCGCAGGACAAAGGGAGGCTTTCTATTCCCTGAAAGAGTTACCATCTCAGAACCCCCCGAGGACAGTTCTACCCCTAGGGTCACCAGGTGTCGGAATTGACTCGATGGCAGGTAAGCGTTGGACTGCTCACCTCAAGGTTTATCGCCTCAGAGCCCTGCACAGGATTGGTGTAGTGGGTTACGTAGTGGGTTGCTAACTACTAGGTTAGCAGTTTGAAACCACCAGTCACTCTCCAGGGGAAAGATGAGACTTTCTACTCCTATAAAAAGTTACACTTCCAGAAACACACAGGGGCAGTTTTACTGAGTAGGAACTGACTTAGGGGCAGTGAGTTTGTGAGGCCTTTGTTATGAGTTGGAATGGGCAGGGCGTGTGGCCATCTTTTGCCCACTTCCGGCAGTCCCTGGTCACCCCTGCTCTACTTTCTGTCTCGACGACTGTTGTTGCCAGCTGCTGTAAAGTTGGCTCACAACTTGTCACCACAATGAACTCACCCCTACAGAGTCCTGTGCCATCCCCATGACCACACTGTGACCCGTCGAGTTTCATTGGCTAATTTTAAGAATTCGATCGCCAGGCTTTTCTTCCTAGTCCAGCGTACACTGGCTCTGACCTTTCATGGAAATTCTCCTAAAGGTTCTTTCCCAAGAGGCCCAGTGGGATATGGGAGCATCAGGGTTCCAATGAGTCTGGGGGAGATGTACTGGGCCCTGGTGGGGTCCTGGCCGCTCCTGGGAAACCCATCCTGGAAACGGATTCGTAGAGAAGAGTCGAGTCGTGACTAAGTAGGTGTGTTAGTCCGGGTAGACTAGAGAAACAAATCCAGGGAGACTCACGTGTATAAGAAAGAGGTTTATATACAAGAGCAATTGAAACTTGAGAAAACATCCCAGCCCAGATCAAGTCCATTAGGCCGATATTAGCCCATATGTCCAATACCAATCTATAAAGTCCTCTTCAGACTCACGAAACACATGCAATGACGCCAAATGCAGGACGATCATAGGCCAGTGGGTGGGAAGTCTTGTGGATCCAGAGGTGTTGTAAGCATCTCAGTACTGGCAGGGAGCTCCATGTAGTTCCATCAGCTCCGAAACTCTGACTGTCTCAGGGTAGCTTCATGTGGCTTCTCAGAAATGTTTCGCAGGGAGTGAGCCTTGTCAGTAAAGACTCTCCAAGAGAGTAAGCAGAGAGAGAGAGAGAGAGAGAGAGAGTGTCTCCTGCCTGCAAGGAGGAAATACCAGAGTTCCCAGAATTCTCAGGAGAAAGCCAGGCCCACACAGAGGCCTCGTTGGCCCTCCTCTGATTGACAGGCTAAACTCTACCCCTTCACTCTTAATCCTCAGATCACACCAGATGATGTGACAACCCCAGCAGGCCAGCCCTACCCGGGAGAGTGCATGCTCTGTGGCTTTCTGTCCCACCCCCACCCAATGTGGTTAGGCGTGCTGCCATCGGACAGCCTGACCTTAGGGCCCCACCACCACCACCCCTGGCTTTCTCCTGTTCTCTGGTCCCTTTCTTGCCCTCTCTGGCCTCCTCATCAACTGTGTGCTGCCATCTTTACTCTTCCTCCGCTTTGGCCTCCATCCATGCATTGCTCCCTATCTTCTGTGGCCATGCCTCGACCCCTGCAACACCTCCTCCCAGAACTCCCTGCACCCCCTCCAGGCACCCTTCAATGGGCTCTCCATGGGGGCTGGTAGCAGAAAGTGAATCCAGTCTCAAGCATCTCCTCCTCCTGGGGTCTGCTGTCATCTCGAGGTGCTGAGAAGGTCCCCCACCATCTCACCTCCCATAATCACAACCCCACCATCGATGCTGCCCCTTGGTCAAAACCGTGCCCGCCCCAGTTGCACTGGGTTCCTCTAGATTCTTCCTGAACCTTCCTTGTTCCTTCCTGCCCCAGGGCCTTTGCACGGACACGAGAGAACTCTGCCAGAAGCACCCTCCCAATCTCATCCCCACGTTCTCAACTCTCATGGCTCCTTCTCAGCAAAGATGTCCTGGCCTGATCCCTCCCCGCAGGTAGGCCCAGTGGCCCTTGACATGCCCACCTTCCGCTCCCTGCTCACCGTCTGTTCTTTCCATCCTTAGCATTGATCAATAAGACTGGCCTCCTTTGACATCATCTTCTGAGGTCAACGAGGACAGTTCCGGAAGGTCTCCCATGAGACCTGGCACCGTGCAGGAAATGAGGGTTTTGTTTTCTTGCTTTGGGTGTCGTCCCCAACTCCCACGTGGACCCCCAAACTAGCTTTCTATTGCCTCAGCCTCAGTGGCATTCTGCCAAGGTCTAGCCCCGCTCAGACTTCCCAATGCTCACTGATGCCCTTGGATACCACCTAATTTCCCCCCAATTTCCCCTAATTTCCTCACCAACCTGTGCCACCCCCCCCACTTCCCCGCCGGCTTTCCTCCCACCCTTTAGTCTGGGGCTATGTGGACTTCTTCCTTACTGTTCCCACAGGTAGCCCCACTGGCTCAGCATCCTACTTTTTCTACGTGGGATGTACATGAACTTGGGAGACTCCATCCCAGCATCCAGGACCTGCCACCCTCTTCTTCCCGTCATAGTTTAGTCTTTCAACAACCTATGTGGTTCAGGGGAAGTGGAGTAGCAAGAGGAATCCAGCCTCCCCTGGACTGGGTGGAATTTGTTCAAGGACAGACATGTCCTGCCCACTGAGGCTGTTGAGGGCCACTTGGTACCACAGCGACTGAGGCTGCCAGAGACATGGAGGGAGAGAGCAATGGTTTCT